ACATGGTACTTTACCAGTGAGATTAGCTCCACGTGGTGAGTTCTGGCGCCTGGGTCACAGACTTTCTGATTGGTGAAACGGTGGAGGGCGGGACATCGAAATGAAAACAATAACAAGATTTAGGGGCTGTAAAACTAATTTAGAAATTCAAATATCTCTAAACTACTGTTATCAGTTAAAGCTAAATCAGAAAGAGAGAGAGGTACTTGATCTGAAAAAAACAACGCAAGCTCCTCCCCCTTCCTTTCTGATTGGTCTATTTCAATGTTAATCAGAACACATTATACTTATGCATTATTAATACACATGCACGGAGATTTTCAGAATTATTTGTGAACGTTTTCATGAAAAAAATAATGTTTTAATGCACACAAAAAAGATCACGGCAAACCCGGAAGTAGCTATTATCATGAATTGAACATTGTAGGACACATCTGTAGAGGATCTGATAATGGATATAGGTTCAGTATATAAATGGGTAACTCAGCGCGGATGTTCAGAATTCTTTGTTCAGTTTTCAGGTAGTTCCAGAGCCTAATAGAGGCTTGATTCGGAGGCTCCGCAAAAACAAAAAACTGAGCATGCGCGCAGCTACGAGCATCAGCGCTGATGATTGACAGCCCTCGATTGGTTAAAGTGGACAGCATCGTGGATTCTGAACTATAGCTAAGAGGAGGGACGGCGGGACTTACCCGTAATATTAGAATTAATAAAAATGAGTTATTTTATATCAACATTTAAGGCCAGGAGGTCAATTTAATACAATTCTTAAAATGTGTAATTCATTTAGAGTTACAGACTATCACTTTAAAGAAGGATTGGAAAAGAACAGTTTATTGTTATGACAGATTGGGGCCCTTGAATGATGACAGATTAGGGACCTTTAATGATGACTTGACATGAAAATCTTACATAGTGCTACTTAAAGTTTAATTTTCATATCAGTTTCAGCAGGGGTTGGGAAAAACTGAATCAGAAAAAAACTGTATTTAGAAAACAGAAGGACAAATAATGGCACAAGAGACACAAACTGAGTGAGACTTCAGACAGAATCAAAAATAAAATCTGCAGGAATAGTTCTGGGATAGATGGCAGACAGATGGGGAGATAGACCTCACGGTAGAGGTAGCAATATAAAGTGTGACACAGAGACAGAAACAGAGACAGAGAGAAAGAGAGAGATTCTTTTGTGTTTCTTAAAATTGGGGTCTGCGTGGTTAGTTCAGGAGTGAGGAAGCATATCGTAAGAGGCGCTGGATGTACACAATATATACATTTCCATAACATAAAATTCACATCTTCATGAGTTATGACCTTAGACTGTAAATATGAACAGACGTAGCAACCGCTTAAACTAATGTGCTACCACTTTTTTCTTCTGTGGCTTTTTCAAAATGGCCGCGGGGCAGGAAAATGGGAAAACATACACTAGCCCCATTCATCTAACGAGTGCATTCAAAAGTCCATAGCGGCTAAACTAGACAGGTCCAAACCCCGGAGCATTGACAGCATCTGGAACGCAGCGTTAGAACAAGAAAATATATTTATTTGACAATAATTACCTTCAATAATTAACTACTTTCACTTTCTTTAATCCCATTGGCCATGTTTTGGTAAAATATCCGAAACATGGCCAAAAAAATATCTGCCTGGGGTGTAAACTTGTGAGCACAAATGCAGCTACCTTCCTCACCCTCACATCAGCTTCATCAACTCCCTTCCAGCCGCTAATCAAGCCAGCGCCAAACAGCACCAAAGCGCCTTTAAACTGCAACCAACTCTGACCCATTCTCCACCTCAGAATTTCTTCAAACGCCCACATCCACCTTGCCCTGTTTCCACCACTGTCTAGGCCCCGGGGATCATGATCTGAAAGCACAGATTCTCACAGAGCAAGGCCACAGCCGGGGCCTGTGCGCCAAACTAATAAACTACAAACAAAACTCACAATCAATACATCTTTTGAATGCAGCTCGTCTCTTTCCGTCTCTCCAGATTGAACTGAATACAGTATAGTACTATAATAATTGGTCATGTTCATTTATACTAACACCTCTACAATAGAATTACTCACAGCGAGAGAAACTGTATCTGTTAATCTGTTCAGTAATTATACGTTTAATTCTTCTTATAAGCAAAGCTCTAGACATCTGTCCCATGTCCCATATACACCCGAGCTGAATATATGAATACATTTCAAATCAACGTTCCTAAGTCTGGGGGAGTACAGAGTTCAGTCCGGGACTCTTGGAGTGTCCCATTTTCCAGCCGCCCAACACTATTGACATTTTAAGACTTACAAATGCCTGCACTATACTTCTAATAAAGTAGCATTTAACTTTAGCAGTTTGATTTGTGCTCAAGGGCAAACATGATGGGACATATTTTACCCTGCAACTCAAAAGACAAAGTCACATTGCGGTCCTGCACAAATATACAGCATACATGAAGGCCAAGTAAGAATCATTAGCATACAAAGCAATAGTCGCTAACATACAGTACACTGAAAAGACAGAAAATACGTTAGCATACATCAAAAAGACACGCTACATATGCCAGCACGTCCCACAAACTCATGGAATTTACAAACAGCAAAGCCCAAGGGGGAAGCCGCCCCACATCACCATCACTCTTTCTCTATCACTGCGCGGCGCCTTCCTCTTTGTTCCATCTCCCTAATGCTGCTCTAAGCCCGTCTTAACAGCGAAATGGTGCAGAACAAATCCTACGCAGGAGTTGACAGGGCGGGATAAGAGACTACCAATGCACCCCGTGTTTCTATCTCAACTAAGTAATAAAAGAAGATGAATGAGCTCTGACTTCATATCAGTGAATATTTGGTTGTAAAAATGAAAAAAATCATTGAAACTGATGGCTGAAGCTTATGGTGTTGTACAGTGGATAGATTGGGGCTATTAAAAAGACGAACAGCAGGTGGTGGGACAGTATGAGCGGTAGGGAAATGACAGCATCGCGGTTACGGAGAAGTCTGATGGCTCCTGGTGGAAGTAAGTGGTGCAAATTGTTTATAATCTTTAATGTAAAAAGTTAAATTTGTCTTCTTGTGTTTGAGGATTAGACGGTTCTTTAAATAAGACAAAGAAAGTAAAGAAGCTAGTACTAATTACCACATGATCTGATCAGCTGTTGCCGGATGTGGTCAGTCTGACAGGTCTCACAGTTCTGTTAGACTGACCACGCCCCCTCAGACTGACCACGCCCCCCTGTGGTCTCTGGAGAAGTGAGTCCCATGTGTGAGATAAGGTGAAAGCCCCCTCGTCTCTGTTTATGGTCTGTGCGCCCCGGTTCCTGATTTAAAACGCCTCTCGTATCCATCTTTTGTGTTTATCTCCTTCTGTTCCTACTATTTTCACATTGTCCCAGTCCATTATGGGATTTTCTCTTCTGCTGTGGTCACATGTAAGTAAGTAAAGTTTATTTGTATAGCGCTTTTCACAAACCAGGATCACAAAGCACTTCATAATTAAAACATACAGATAAAATTAATACACATACAAGTCGTGTGACTGATTTGAGGTTTTCCTGTGTTGCCTTTTCCTTGGTTGATCTTTTTAGTCGAGCTGCCGTTTCTTTTGATAGTAATAATAATAATAATGCATCCGTTTTATTTAGCACTTAGTCATTTGTCATTATTCTTTCACTTCATACCCAGTGGTGGTAAACTACTATTGTAGCCACAGCTGCCCTGGGGCACACTGACCATCGGCTGCTCCCACCACCACCTACAATTCACACACACACACTCATTCTAGTCTATGTGGGTAAAGTGTTTTGCCTAAGGACACAACAGCAGTTTGGCACTTTACAGAGGTCTCCCATCACATTGATTTTCCTTCCACATTGGCTCACATGTGGGACTCACTTCTCCAGAGACCACAGGTGGGCGTGGCCAGTCTGAGGGGGACTGGTCAGTCTGAGGGGTTGTGGTCAGTCTGAGGAGGCGTGGCCAGTCTGAGGGTTTGTGGTCAGTCTGAGGGGACGTGGTCAGTCTGAGGGGTTGTGGTCAGTCTGAGGGGGCGTGGTCAGTCTGAGGGAACGCGGTCAGTCTGAGGGGGCGTGGTCAGCGTGAGGGGGCGTGGTCAGTGTGAGGGGACGTGGTCAGTCTGAGGGAACGGGGTCAATCTGAGGGGACGTGGTCAGTGTGAGGGGGCGTGGTCAGTCTGAGGGGGCGTGGTCAGTGTGAGGGGACGTGGTCAGTCTGAGGGAACGGGGTCAATCTGAGGGGACGTGGTCAGTGTGAGGGGGCGTGGTCAGTCTGAGGGGGCGTGGCCAGTCTGAGGGGTTGTGGTCAGTCTGAGGGGACGTGGTCAGTCTGAGGGGTTGTGGTCAGTCTGAGGGGGCGTGGTCAGTGTGAGGGGGCGTGGTCAGTCTGAGGGGTTGTGGGCCGTCTGAGGAGGCGTGGTCAATCTGAGAGGGCGTAGTCAGTCTGAGGAATTGTGGTCAGTCTGAGGGTACGTGGAAAGTCTGAGGGGGCGTGGTCAGTCTGACAGATCTGTGAGACCACTCAGACTGACCACATCCGGCAACAACATCTGATCAAAGACACATCACACCATCATGTGTCTCTGACGAAGGCGGAATTCTAAATGCTGTAAATGTGGTAGTTAAACAATACTAGCTTTCTTTACTTTCTGCCTTATTAAAAGAACATTCTGAGCTTGTTTATAATCTTCATACACTTCATACAGTTTCAGAAATTCAACGTCAATGCCTCATGTCGCTAGTAATCACATGGTTTAAATAAAAGCCCCCAAAGCATATTGTGAATCTAAAAGTTTTTAAATACTGTAAATTGTGTTTTCAAATCCCACGGGATATTTACTACATCCTCATAGCCCATTGCATTATATCAATCAGCGGTTTTGTTTGAATATTTCACTTCTTAAACATTGGTGTGTATGTGTATATAAGAGTCTGAAGTGTGTGTTACTTTCTTCTCCCACATTTCAAAGTCAGGTTTGTTGTGCACAGAGACTTACATAAGGCCTGGGAGCTGGTGAGCAGCAGTGATAGCAGCAGTGTGATGACGGGCAGCAGGGCGGGCAGGGGGAGGCGAGGGGCTCCGGTGTGGGCCATCCTGACTCCAGAGGGGGAGGGGGGCACGGGGCTAAGGGTTGACCTGGCCCCGAGACAAACTGGAGGGCGGGGCTTCACACGGGATGGCTTGGTACTCTGGAAGAACACACAGGAAATAGAAATGTTTAGAGTATTTGTGAGATAAACTTTGTTACTCAATAAACACAGACTTTATCCTGGAAAAAACATAAAATACAAAGAGAATGCCATATAGAGAATGGAATCAATCATTTTGACTTGTAGATTCATGTAAAGGCGCGTTCCCAGTCATCAGTCAACTGGACTCAGATTACTTCATGCACAAAGCCACAGTCCACATAAGATAAGATTTTATTGATACGTAACATCAGACCTGTTTCAAGAGAAGTCACCTGACAAAAGTGAAGTGTGGACCAGTGTGAATCACATTTGTGGACCTAAAACACCAGCTTTTATACAGCTTTTTTAAGGACTCTAAAAAACATCACACATGTCATTATTCTTTCTCTCACCAGTCCCGCCTTCCCTTCTCTTAGCTATAGCTCAGATTCGACGGTGCCGTCGAGGTTAACCAATCGAGTCATGCCAAGGGCTGTCAATCATCGGCGCTGATGCGCGTAGCTGTTTCTTTTCGCGGAGCCTCCGAATCAAGCCTCTATTAGGCTCTGGAACTACATGAAAACTGAACGAAGAATTCTGAACATCCGCGCTGAGGTACTTATGTATATACTGAACCTATATCCATAATCAGATCCTCTGCAGATGTGTCCTATAATGTGCAATTCATGATAATAGCACTTCCTGGTTTCCCGCGATCGCTTTTTTTGTGCATAAAAACATTATTTGTTTCATAAAAACTTTCACAAATAATTCTGAAAACTTCCGTGCATGTGTATTAATAATGTACATGTATAATGTGTTCTCTGATTAACATTTCAAAGTGTTACGGAAACGTAGGTGTAGACCAATCAGAAAGGAAGGGGAGGAGCTTGCGTCGTACCTCTCTGTCTGGCTTTCTGACAAACTCCAGACAATCACTTTAATATTATGGTGTGAACGACTGTGTTTAAGTAGAGCGCCCTGGACAAACAAGGAACTACACAAGAGTCTGAACAGCAGACATTTGGAGATATTTTTGAGTCATTGACCCAAAAGTAACACATTGGTACAGTTTAGGTTGGACTGAGCCATCTCTTAATCACTAATGGTCCAGACACTTGTGTAAAATGTATTTATATAAAAGTAGATCACAAAATAATACACTACGACAGAAACAGAAAGATCAAATGACACGGAGACAATGCACACTTTGTTTTGTGGCTCGCCCGGGAGGCAGAGTCTGCTCAGCGCACATCACAAAAGTTCATAATGGGGCAACGCAACCTGATCGCACAACCTGGCTCAACTCTGTGAGCATCTGCCAAGTCGGCGTGTCCTTGAGCAAGACACTGAGCACGCTCCCTTTGCATCCTGGCGGCGCCCACTGAGAGGCACAAGGGTGACTGTGTGGAAGTGAGATTAATTACCTGCACCCAGTGGTTAACTGGGTGCCGCTGTACAAACTGTGCAGACACGAGGCACTTTGTCATAAAGCGGGAGCCTTTGTGAGCAGGGAGTGTGGAGGTTAAAGATAATACTGTGTCAACATGGGCTACAATTGGGATTTATAAAAAGGAGCACTTCTCAAATGTCCCTGAACATTTCATATTAAATCCTCAGCAATAACTTAAAGAGAACAGCTTTTAAACACAGAAGAAGAAGAAGATATACAGAGACAGTAATGTAGCAACTGACAACTCTATAATATATGGCTTATAGAGATTGGTACAAGGCTAAACACAAAATACTGAAATATGTATCAATGAGCAAAGGATAAGATGTCAACTAATCAGATATTTGGATTTCAGTCATTATGAACTAGTAAGTTCATAATGATGCATTTTACAGACCAAGGTCACCCAAAGCGCTATACAATGTTTAGAGTTCAGATATTGTTCCAATCATTCCGCACACTGTGATGACGGAAGTGAGATGCCGAACACACTGGACCATCAGCCCCCAACCAACACCATCCATTCACTCTCTCATTTACATTCATACCTATTGTGCATGTTTTTAGTGGAAGGGGAAACCGGAGCACCCAGAGAAAACCTATGCAGACACGGGAAGAACATGCAAAGTCCACTCAGAAAGGCCCTATTCCGACCGGGATTCGAACCCAAGACCTTCTTGCTGAGAGGGGAGAGTATACTATCCACTCAGCCACCGTGCTGCCCTACTAGGTCAAAATTGTATATTGTCATGTATGTGCCTGAACACACAGGCTACTATATAATAATGTCATGTCATTTTCTAACCCTTTATTAATCAATTTCTGGGTTGGGGGGGGGGGTTTGCAATCAGAGCTGCCACCCAAGTCTTATTGCACCAGTCCCTCACTCACTGATCCTCCTGAAGGTGGTGAGTCCACGGGAAGATGGCTTCTCCGTCATGGACTAGATGGCCTTGGTCTTTCAGCGGGGGCTTAAGGCAATGTGGGGTTGATAATAATAATAATAATGCATTAGTTTTATATAGCACATTTCAGGACTCTCAAAGTCTCTTCACATCATTATTCATTCTCTCCAAACACGGCAGTGATAAACTACAAATGTAGCCACAGCTGCCCTGGGGCACACTGATAGAAGCGAGGCAACCAGTTTGTGCCATCGGCCCCTCCCACCACCACCAACCATTCACACACACACCAGACTCATTATTATCTTAAAACAATATTATCTATGGAGTGAATGAATAATGACACGTGAAGAACCATTGAGAGTCCAAAAAAGCGCTGTATAAAACCGATGCATTATTATTAACCAACCAACATCGGCAAAGATTGAAATAAAAAGTCTTCTTCACACACACCTCATTCCTTTCTTTTATTCTTTAAACATTTCTGTCAAATGTCTCAAAAAGTTTCACCGTTTCCCAGAAATTGCACGCGCCAGACACACTTTCCATCCAGTCTCAGAAAGCCTGATCAACAAAAGATCTTTTGACTGATGCCGGGCTCGAAAAGAGTGGGCGTCTTCCACAAAGCACAGCTCATCTTGCAGCACACAATACATACACACACACAATACACTCACACACACACACACAATACACACACTCACACCGACATGCGCACCCTTGACTCCCTTCTTTCTGTTTCCACGTTCCAACCTGGAGGCCTATAGTGACGCAACATAAGAGAGAGTATGGAATAATCTCTGACTGCGGGCCCGGTGAATGATGCCTGCATTGTCTGGGAGTGTAAACACGGGTGTAGCTAGGGCTAATCTTCCCGGGGCCTGCAGGGATTCGCCGCCGCCGCATGCCTAGGTTATGATTTATGGTCCTGCAACCTCGGGGCAAACATTTCTATCACTTCCTACGGTCGCTACACAAACTTCACAACACAATTACAAGCGCTATTGTAGTGGAGACGGGCGCTTCATGTCACGTAACCAATGGCTACGTGTGGGCTAGCGGTTAGCGGTTAGCTATCGATTCATCTTCTCTCATGTGTGTCATGGAGAGCAGGCGATGACCACTTTCAATGGAGCTAAAGAGGAGCCTATAGTACATGTTTTCAAGGTTTGGGAAATATTTAAGTCACTGCTATTACCGTATTTTTTAGATTATAAGTTGCACCAGCCAAAAACACATAATAAAAAAGGAAAAAAAAGTATAAGTCACACTACACTGCAAAAAGTAAAATTTCAGAGAGCTTCATTCACTATAACTAACATGAATGAGGCTTATTTTTTAAGTTTTTGTAGCTTGAATGTAGTTTGTCATAAGATTATTTTACTAGTTTTAAGATAAGTTTTTAAGCTTTTTTTTTTTGTTTTTTTCCTCATTTTCAGACTTTTCTTGTTTAGATAAAAAAAAAGTTTGATGCTGTGTTTTAAGAAAACATCAAAAATGTTTAATAAATAAGTAAATAATTCTTGAAATGCATGTTATAATTCTATTGCGGATCATTTGAATTATTTTAAGCAGTATTTAACTTTAGTTTGAGCTTAAATTTATCACTGTTTTTTAATACAAAACCACAAACAATATATTTTCAATGATTCCCAAGTCTTTTCTATCTTAAAAAAGTCAAAATTTACTCATATTAAAACAGGAGTTGCCGATGGAACAAGCCGTTTTAATAATAATAATAATAATAATAATGCATCGGTTTTATACAGCGCTTTTTTGGACACTCAAAGACGCTTCACATTATTATCAATTCACTCCAAACACAGTGGTGATAAACTACTACTGTAGCCACAGCTGCCCTGGGGCACACTGACAGAAGCGAGGCAACCAGTCTGTGCCATCGGCCCCTCCCACCACCAGTGAAAAAGTAGAGCAGCAGTAACACACATGGTTCTATATTGTACATTCTGACAATAGTTTGCATGTTCTCCCCGTGTCTGTGTAGATTTCCTCCGGGTGCTCCAGTTTCCCCTACCACAAAAAACATGTACAAAAGTTCAGGGTGGTTGCGACTGTCGGACAAATTATGGAAATTAGCCCAAACTAGCAACAATCTTTCTTCTTGTTTTGGTCAAATTTATCCAAAGTTATCCACAAAGTGAAACATTTAGTAAGAGAAAGAAAACTCACTCAGAAAATCCATGATTTAAAAAATTGTTAATCACTGCCTTTTGTTGTCATGTTTTAATACAGTCATAGTTTTCATTTAGTGTAATCCAGGTTGTGTAACATTTTATGACATTATAATGACAAGGGCTGTGAACATACACCACAGTGATGTTGCAGCATAAAGGTATTTTTTTACTAATTTAACACCTCCATATGGCATTTAAGAGCGTGATCATTTAGAGTCCACTCATTTACTTGTCCTCCCATTTAATTTATTTGTTGTGTATGTGTTGCAGGGGTTGTGTATGTGTGCAGGGGTTGTGTAGCGTGCGAGTCGCGAGTGTGTTTGCACTGAGACATATAGGCGAAGAATATAGCAACCATCTGTTGTTGAATCATGCAGTGCATAGATTTTATGGAGAGAGAGAGAGACAGAGACAGAGAGGGGGGTGAGAGAGAGACAGAGAGAGAGAGAGTGAGAGAGAGAGAGACACACACACACACTGAGAGACACACACACACAGACAGAGACAGAGAGAGAGAGAGAGAGAGAGATACAAACACACACATGCACACACACAGAGAGACAGAAAACATTAATATTTGCCACTACTCTTTGATCAGAGCTGTCCTTCAAACCTGCTTTTACTGTTCCCTTTCCCACATACATCCATACGTTTCTCACATCCTTCACTCCCCCCCTCCTGTCAGAGTCATGCATACTAAACTCTGCTTGCATTGCAGATGTTTGGTTGGGAATCACATGAATTTGCATGCAGCTGCAGGACTATTATGTAAATGGCGCTCCATGTGTGTATCCACCTCTTTTATTGCCCAATCCTCGGAGATCTGTGTTGGAGAAATGTGAAATTCAGAGTATCTGTGATTAGCCGCCGCATGGGAGACTCGCGGTAGATACACAACAGTTGATACAAACACACACTCACACACACACATGTAGACAAAGCGGCTGGTTAGAAGGATCCCGCTGTAGGTTTTTGCCTGATGTGAAGGTTGTTTGTGTCGCGGGCCGGACCTGCACCACTCTGACCTCATTAGGGCACTCCAGATTTCACTGCCCTGGCAACCTCTCCATGAAAGCAGCTTTCCCATGAGCCTTTGCCCTCCGCTGTTCTCAACCTTCCCCAACCCTAGAAATGGCGCTTGACACCTCGGAGCCACCTTGTGTCTGCCATCTGCTACCCCCAAGAGAGACCCACAACCTTTAGCGTGGATCCTACCAACCAGAAGGATTTCCGTGTTAAAACTGCTGAAAGTAGATTAAAGTTTTACTTCAAAGTCAAACCAGTGTTTTCCGTGAGCAAATCCGCTTTTAATGGAGGTGTAGGATAAAAGAAGGGGTTTCCATTGAGATAAGAAGAAGCAGTTTGGGTCCACAAGAAAAAGACAAGATTAGGTTATTTGGTAATTTCGATTGGAGCAGAGTTTGAATAATGGACAAATACATTCAAGTGTTATGTGTTTTGTATCTTTCGTAAACGTATAGTACAACACCCACCGCAATCACAATCCTTTACAGCTAGCTAAAACACAAAGCAGCTACTTATTTTGTATATTTTGTGTGCTCCCTGTGGCTCTTACTACTGTCCTGTCTGTGCACTGCAACACTGAAATTTCCCCACTGTGGGACAAATACAATAGAATCTCTCATCTTATATTATCTGTCTGTATATTAAGGACGTCATTTCAGATTTTGCTGTCTTTGAAGAACAGCTTTTGAGGACTATGGCTCCTTCCATTCACCCATTTTCTTCCGCTTCATCCGTTGCCGGGTGGCGGGGGCAGCAGACACACACACACTTGGATCCTCTTCACGTGGACAAGCAGCGGCTATGGCTCCTGGAAAAGCCCATTAGCTCATTAATTATTACTATTTTGTCCAAATAAAGCCGAATGTAACGCACAATAACATCAATCTCATTAGATCTTGTTAAAACTGCGT